ACATCTTATCAAATATATTACGTGATAAAATTATTATATAATAACAAATATATTAGGGATATTGATATTTTGGTACCTCAATTATACTTATTTTGCCAATTTGGTACCTAAAGTTTGCAATCAATTTATTCAGTACCTAGATTACATACTTTTTAATTAATTAGTACCTAACTTAATTTGAACAGATAATAACCGGTTTCCTAATGATTTTGGCCGGTCATGATAGCATAGATATTTGTGTCATTTCCACTTTCAAGCACGACCAGCCCAAAGGTCTCAAGACTCAAAGAGATTCACATTATTTTTTTTTCACTTTTATCCAATTTAGATTCTCAAAAGAAATCAATATCCCTGCAGTTTTGATTAAATTGAAGATTTGAAGGTGGAATTTCAATAATATCCAACAATGGGTTGGATCATCCGCCACAATGTCAACGAAAATCCTCCTGAATTCTTATGCCCTAATTACAGTAAGTTCATTATTTTTTTTCTTTCAATTACTATCCTTCATTCTCAAGAAAAAGATGAGTATGTTTTTGTTGCTTTAGGATATGAATTAATATTCTTAAAGATGAAAAAGATGAGAACGTTTTTATTGCTTTATGATATGAATTAATATTCTTTGTGCGCATTGTAGGGTTGGTGGAACTAATTCAAATATAATTTTGGTATTTTTGCATTTATTTTATTGAAGTAGCATTTAAGCAAATGAATTAAAACAAGTTATTTTTTTTTCCCTCACCCCATCAGGTTCTGGGTCACAATTTTTCACCATACGGATGTACCATTCTGGAAAATTCGTAAAATATGGCACCAGGTATTATGTTGGGGAAAACATGAGAGTGAGTCATATTGATTTTTGTGACCCGGATGAAATGTCATTTTTGGAAATCATTAATATTACTCGGGATTTGGGTTTAAAGGAATGCAAGAAGTTTCACGTGAGTACAAATGGGATAGATAATTGCAGTTCTTTGTTTGAGATTCAAAATGATTCTGATGCTTTGAATTTGGTTAACTTTTTGGATGAGAATAGAGTGGTAGGCATTTATATTGAGCATCAAAACAGTACATTGAGCACCATTGCATCTGAACCGCGCAATGATTACTTGCCTAGTGTTGATGAGGGAATGGAATTTATGGGAGAATCTGACTTGGGTGAAAACGGTAGTGATGGTGACACCGACAGCGGCCAATCACTTGGGACAGATTCTTCCAAGTCAGAGGCTTTTGTAGAGAGCGATTGGGAGTTTTCTGAAAATGATGATCTTCTTTATGAAAAAAACATAGATGCTGAAGTTGAATGGGGAGGTTTAGAAATGAAAGGCTCTAAAAATAAATCAATTTGCAGTGGTAGTGAAATGGTCCACCGAGTTGAAACTATTAAAAGCAAGTTACAAGTTGATGAGCAATTTAAACTGGGACAATGTTTTCCTACTGCTGAGTCTTTTAAGGAGAGTGTAAGAGCACATTCTATTAGGGATGGCAGGGATATAACTTTCACATTAAATAGAAAGTTCAAAATCCAAGCCAAATGTAAACATGACACGTGTCCCTGGGTAATCTATGCATCAAGGGTCAGTGATGAAGACACCCTTCAAGTAAAGACCTACACTGGCAAGCACAAGTGTCCTAGGGCTCAGAAAGTCGCTCAGGCAACACCTAAGTGGATAGCTAACTACTACAGGGACAAAATAGCAACTGATCCCAAGTGGCCTATTGATTCAATGCTTTTTATCATGCAAAAAGAGCTTAAAATTGTGTTTAATAAATGGCAGATGTATAAGGCAAAAAAGATTGTGAAGGACTCATGTCTAGGGACTGATGTAGAGCAATTTGGCATGTTGTGGTCATATGCCGAAGAGATTAAAAACTCCAATCCAGGCACCACAGTGAAGATAAAATCGAAATTGGTGGAAGGACGACCACAATTTAAAAGAATGTATATATGTTGGGGGGCTTTAAAAAAAGGGTTTCTTGGGGGTTGTAGGCCCGTGATATGCTTGGATGGGTGTCATCTTAAAACCCAGGTAGGTGGAATTTTGCTAACTGCTGTAGGTGTTGATGCAAATATCTGTATGTATCCATTTGCATATGCAGTCGTTGAGAAAGAAAAGAAAAAATCTTGGTTGTGGTTTTTAGAGTTGCTAGTTGCCGATTTGAACATTGAGAATAGTTATTCTTGGACAATAATGTCAGATAAACAAAAGGGATTAGTAGATTCTGTTGAGCAGTTGCTACCTAATTGTGAACACAGGTTTTGCGTCCAACATTTATATAGCAACTTCAAGTCTTCACACAAAGGGCTAGCCTTAAAGCAAATATTGTGGAAAGTTGCAAGGGCCACAAAAATTGCAGATTTCAGTGCTGCTATGAATGAGCTGAAATCCAGAGATGTGGAAGCTTTTGAATGGCTGGCAAAGAGGCCCCCACAACAGTGGTCTAAGTCCCATTTCAGTTGTATTCCTAAATCAGACATGTTGCTCAATAACTTGTCTGAAAGCTTCAACTCTATGATTTTAACAGCAAGAAATAGGCCTATTATATCCATGCTTGAGACTATAAGATTGATGCTAATGAAAAGAATCGGGGCTGTTAGAGAAGAGATGGAGAAGTATAGTGGTGATTTGTGCTCTAAAGTTCAAAAATACTTGGAGGAAACTAAGCAACAGGCAATGGAATTTATTGCCCATTGGAATGGCCACAACCAATTTGAGATTGAGAATAGCTACGGGAAAAGCTTCAAGGTTCATTTGGGAGAAAAAACTTGTGCTTGCAGAAAATGGGATCTTACAGGTATACCTTGTGCTCATGCTATATCTGGGATGTATTATCTAGGCCATAAACCTGAAGATTATGTGGACAAGTACTACCATAAAAGTACGTTCATGAGGATATATAGTAACTTCATGGAGGCATTGAATGATTGTGACATGTGGCCTCAAGTTGATTGTGAACCGCTACTACCTCCTGTTTATGCCAAGTTACCTGGGAGACCTAAGAAAAATGCTAGAAGAAAAGATCCAAATGAGAGCAAAGGTATAGAGAATGAAAACGGTCAGAAAAATTCTACTAAATTATCTAGAAAAGGAATGGTTTTGAAATGTTCAGTATGCCGCAAAAAAGGTCACAATGCTAGAGGTTGTCCACTGGTAAAAGAAAGGCGGGACACAAGTTCAGGCTTGGATATTCCCCCGCTCAATGAAGAAATACAAACACTTCCAAGAAAGGTTAACAATAATTATACATTTTCTTTTAGCGTATTATGATTAATTATCCACGATCCTTTTAATAGCTTCAAGTGCGATAACATGTAGGGTTCCAAAAGGAATAATTCTGGTCTTACATCTTTCGAGCAGCCCGAAAAGGTTTCTCGGAACATGCAAAAACAGAATAAAACACACGGAGTTAGAAAAAAACTACAAGTAAGTATTTGCTTTTTTTTTTTGTGGTGTTTAAATAATTAATATTCTTCTTTTTGATATTTGGTTGCAAGGTAAGCAAAAACCAAATGAAGGTTAAACATAAAGATCAACAGATTGAGCTAATGTCGAACCTCGAGGATCAAAACCTACATGCATATGGAGATCGCTAGGAAAACCTACAGTGGGAAAAATTTTCAACCAAGAATGGCCTATCTTCTTCAAATCAAATTGTGTCCTCGAAGGAAGAACCCGTTACATTGAGATCTCACTAATTTTTCAATTGTTGCCTTAAAGTACAGTCACAAATTGGGGATTTAGTAGACAAGCCTTTCTGGAATTTTGATAGCTTTATCTTGTCATCCTGACTGAATATGGTATTTTGAATGTTCAATTTTATCTACTCTATTTTTACATTTATGAAAAACAATGAATTCATTTTGTCATTTGATTGAGTACCAAATTGCATTAAGTACTTGTGATTTTTTTCTTGCTCAGGATCTATTGGTTTAATGGTGGAGCATTTTACATTGGTGTTATTTATTTTTCTCACTTTTTGTAGGGGTTTGTTGTTGTGTTTCCAGCTGGAAAGACATCTCGTTGAGGATGTCTTTGTTCTTTACATGTGCTGTAACATAAAATGACCGACTAGACACATATAAACTGCCTATTCTAGGTCATATCTGAATTAGGTACTTATTAATTAAAAGGGGTGTAATTTAGGTACTGAATCATTTAATCATATACTATAGGTACTAAATCAGCAAGATGACAATAGTTCAGGTACCAAAATATCAATATCCCAATATATTATGGAATTGTTGACAAAAAATAAAAATAAAAATAAAAGATAAAAAATGAACCATTCTTACCAAACATAAATAATTCATTTGCATGAGACTGATTAAACATACAAGAATGAATATATTAAAATATATGGAAAATAGTATATTCCACAAATTACAATACAAAATCATGCCTTCGAAAACCACGTATCAAAACCATTGCTTCTGAAACCACTGATAAAATCATGTGCATGTGACATGTTCCATCTACACACAACATCATTCTTACACAACAACTTTCTATACGCAACACTCTTCTCAAAATCAAACTCCTTACATTTGTCACACAATACTTTCTCAAACAACCCCTTCTTATATTTGTCACACATGCACCACACAGTACTGCAAGGAGTGAACGTTCGTCAAAACTCTGGTGAATCCGTCGCGATGTTGAAGTCATAAGAGAATCGCCTTTTGAATCTCGATGGGAGGAATAATGAAAAGAAACAGTCCGGGTTGGTTGGTGAGCCTAGTGATAAGAGACTGTCTAGCTTGGTTCGGAGAGCACTTGTTGGTTAAAGATTTGTTTGTTGCTAAATGTTATAGTACATACAATAATATGTGTGGTACACATTTTTCTCAGCATTTCACTCACACACGCTCAAACTAGCCAAAACAGACACACTCAAACACAATCCCAAACATAGACAAAGCAACCACATTCAAACATAATCCCAAACATAGACAAACCAACCACATTCAAACACAATCTCAAACAGCAAAACACATTCAATCGCAATCATAAAATAATTCTTGTAAATCTTTTCATCGATACTTGAACTCTATCTCATTCATTACCAAAATATCAAATTTCATACATTATTTTCACTGTTTTCTTATCAACAAACTATCAAATTTCATACATTATTTTCACGGTTTTCTAATACCATGATAGAGATTTGATAGAAAATAGATTGTGATTTTGGAGATCGATGTTTCACCAAACTATCAAATTCCATACCTTGTTTTCACTGTTTTCCAAATACCTTGACATAAAATAGCTTGTGATTTTGGAGGTAGAAAATGCCCATGGAATGTTTTATGCCGTAATTCCAGAATTTGAAGATCTAAAGGTCTGTAATTCCAGAAAATCGAAGATGTTGAAAATGGGTGAGCTAAATATTGTACTTATATCTATTACTTATTTTACTTTAATTTTTCTTATTAAGGGTGAGCTAAAATTTCTACTTATATCTCTTACTTATAGTACTTTATATTGAGATGGATGAGCTAGCTAGTCTATATAACAACAATTAAATTCTCGAGGATTTGGAGATCAAAGATGATGTTCAGAATGGGAATTCGATAAGTAAGGCGAGATTTATCTTGAAAAATCTTGGAGCTACAAGACACTATGAGGTGGGTAAAAATCTTTTATAAATCTAAAATTATTTTCTACACCATTGATGCATGCAAGATGAAAATAATTATGTTCCATGATTGATAATGTTATTTTAGTATCTTGCAAAATATTAGAGAATGTTATCTCACACCTATTCGAGAAAATTGCGTGATACTTCTAAAGAAATAGTTATATGTGATGTTGATGAATGACATAGTGAATGCTAAAAATTATCATTGATTGTGAATTATTTTTACACTAATGATTTATGACACGAGGTAGTGTGGATCATGGCCATCAAAATAGTTTTGATTCAAAAATCAAATCCTAAAGTGAACTAACTGTAGATAAAACAAAATTAAAAGTGTAATAATATTTTATATATTATTCTATTATTGTGGACCATATAATTAATTGGACCTAATTGAATTAATAGTCAAACTTATTTAAGGTGAATATGTATTTAATGGATTATTTAATGTTCTAATATTAAAGAGTCCAAATTGTGATGTTTGACTTGGACAGTAAGTTAGGTTAGAACATGGGGAATGTTAGTAGGAATAGGTTTGTAGGACTCCTCCAATATATACTACATGCCCCTCTCTCCCATCTCATACGAAAATAAAGTTCTCAACATCAAGGGCTTTATGAAAAGACGAGAGATGCGGGAGAGAGAAACAATTCATAGGCAAAAGCAAATCCATCATCGGAGAGTACGACAAAGATAGATCCATCCATCATCGGAGAGTACGACAAAGATAGATCCATGAGATTACGAGGAAGAGATCGCAGATCAACATCATAGATAAAGAAAACAGGGAAGGACTATAAGCTGGATTCTTGTAAGTTCTATGTGCAATTTAATTAATGCAAAGATCCATATTCTATGAACTAATAGAATTATATGATTAGAGTTTATTCAATTCCACCTGATAGTTATGAGTATGCCCATTAAATTTCTTACATGTGGTATCAGAGAATGTGTTATGCATGATTAAATTGCCAATTAAAGTTTATGGTGATCTGGCCATATGAATTTATGCCCCGCTACGAATTGTTTTGTGAGTTATTGCGATATGTATTAAAAATTAATTGAGTTTTTCTGTTCGTCTTTGACGCTTGGACGAGAATGGAAAACATGAATGTTCAACTATATCATATTACGAAGTATAGATTAAAATTGATTAAACGGCTGCAATTTTTAATTGACCACAGTTCCATCATGAAGTGGTTGGAATTTAATTGATATGTTCGAATCTTGTCCATTTATTATTACTGAAATATAAAGATGAGTTTTTTGAATAATTTATGATTGTTACATAAAAGATGTGATTTGAATTGTATTCCATTATTAGTTAGAGTACTTACAGTAATCATTAAATGGAATTGCACAAGTTCATGGTGATATAGGGAGGATGCATGACTTGTGCTAACTGATTGTGAAAACTTGTTTTTCAACTGATAGCTTCGGTTCTTGAAAGGCTGTTAGTTCTATATTATTTGTTTTGATATGAACTATATTACAGTTAATTTCTGTAATGATAGAGATTAATCAAATACGAATAATCTCATAATATACACATCATATATTTTCTAATTATATTATCTATGTAAAGAAACTAGTTAGTCACCAAAGTGGCCTAGTTTAATTTATGGAATAGATAATTAAATTAGATAAAATATAATTAAGATAAAATATTATCTAATTATATTATCTATGTAAGAAACTAGTTAGTCACCAAAGTGGCCTAGTTTAATTTATGGAATAGATAATTAAAGTAGATAAAAGTATCAATTATTCAAATATAAGACGATGTCTTATTAATGTACCCTAATATTATAATATTTGAATAATTGGTGTTATAGATTATAAACTAGGAGGACACCCAAAGGTGGGCCATGGTTTGTAATATATGACAATAAAAGAGAAATTATATTAAAGTTAGGTTAATTAGTGTGTTTGTCCAAAGATAACCACTAATTAATCACAATACATATAATTTCTATTAAAGATCTTTCCTCTTAGACATCAATCAAGTATATTATATATTTAAGTATTTGTCCAAAGGTATATTTAAATATATAATTTAAAAGATATCCGAATCCATTAATTGTCTCTCAAAGCTTAATTAATAGCATGTATTGAAGTTTGCAGCGTTCAAAATTTGGTTATCCATACAGTATTATAGTTTAAAAAATTCAATTGGATGAACTTCAATGAATGGTCTAAGCATATCCAATTTCAGTTAGGTTCAATGAATTTGGATATGACTCTAATTATTGATGAATTTCCCACAACCATTACTGATGAGAGTTTCGAAGTAGAGATAACTCTTCGTAGGGTATGTGAGCGATCAAATAGGTTGTGTTTGCATTTTATGAAGTTAATCATGGGGGATAACATTAAGGCTAATAATTTAAAAGAGTTCCTAAAAAAAAAAATCAAGGAATTATCTCCATTTAAAATTGCGGGAAAAGTTTATTGTGGAAAGTTTCATTAATGTACTCTCCACTATAAAAGTTCATCTGATTCCGCTCCATCCATGATTTCGTGATCCATGTGTTCCACATATAAGCTAAACTTGCAAACATGAGAATGAATGTGATAGACTCATTTATGGTTTTATTCATCATGAACTCCTTACCTGTCGAGTTTGGCCAATCCTAGGTGAACTATAACACCATTAAAGATAAATAGGACTGCAAGAAAATTAAGGCTATGCTGGTGCAGGAAGAGGTCGGATTAAATGAGATGAAAGAAGAGTCGATTCATTTTATATCTCATGTGGGAGCCAATAATAGTAAGATAAAATGGGAAATAAAAGGCAAATAAAAGGAGACTGACTTACTTAAAGTTTTTGTAGGTCCAATCATTAAATAAATAAGGTGTTAGTTTTGTAAAAAGCTAGGCCATCTTAAGAAAGATTGCCCGAAATAAAATCTTGATTCGAAAAGAAAGACATACATTAATTTTTTGTATGTTGTGAATCAAATTTATTAAGATTCCCAATAATACTTGGTGGCTTGGTTCTGTGCAACTACTTATGCATCTCATATTTATTTTGAGGTTAAACGTAGTGCACATAATTAAAATTCTACTCTCTTATGGCATTAAAGATTATGGTCACATATCCAAAGAAAAGTTTTATGAATAGTGAATAATGAAATCATTTCTCATTTGGATTTTAGTGATCAAGATGTATGTATAAAATGAATTAAAGAAAAGCAAACTAGACATACATTAAAGAGATCTGCCAAGAGAAGCACTAAAATCTTATAACTTATTTACACTAATTTTTTGTGGTCTATTCAACGTCCCTTTATGGGGTGATGTAAAGTATTTAATCACCATTATAAATGATTTCTCACGTTATGGTTATATTTATCTACTACATGAAATGACTCAATCATTGGACTATCCAAAAATATACAATGATGAGATGGAAAGGTGGTTAGACAAATAAGTAAAAATTGTGAGATCTTACTAGATTGGTGAATATTATTGTAAGTTCAATTAAAGAGGATAATGTCCTAGCCCATTTGCAATGTTTGTTGAGATTTAAAATATTTGTGTGAAATATACTATAATTGAGACTCCTCAACATAATGGTGTTGCAGAGAGGATAAATCGTACTAAAAATAATATGGTTAGGTGTATGTTGAGTAATTCAACATTAATGTTTTTTGTGTGGATGCATGCATTAAAGATTGTTGCATATTGGGTAAACCAGGTTCCTAGTAAAGTAGTTCCTAAAATATCTTATGAGCTATGGAGGGGTAGGAAACCTAGTTTGAGGCATCTTCATATTTGGGGGTGTCAAGCAGAAGTGAAAGTATACAATCCACATGAAAAGGAACTTGATCCTAGGATAGTCAGTGGTTATTCATTGACTATCCGAAAAGATATAAAGGATATAAGTTTTATAGTCCTAACCATAGTAAGAGAATACTTGATTCTAGCAATGCTCGATTCATTAAAAATGATCAAATCAGTGGGAGTTCGGAACCGCAAAGTTTGGATGTCAAAGAAACTCTGGTTGAACAGTTAAACTCCGAGAGTCCATTAATGGTTGTTATTCTTTTAGTTACAGCACCGTCATGTAACTTAGATGAATAACAAAATGATCCAAACTCATTTGATAATGAATCATCACAAGCAATCAAGGAATTATAAAACAACTTTTGGTTGATGAATGACAAGCCATGAAAAGTTAAAATTCTGGAAAAGTTGATTAATGCCATAAAAGTATAATTAAAGTCAATGGATGACAATAAAGTTTGGAATTGAGTAGAGGTTACCTGAATTGTCTAAAAGAGTTGGGTGTAAATGGGTTTTTCAAAACCAAACACGACTCTAAAGGTAATATCGAAAGATATAAAGTTAGACTTGTTGCTAAAGGTTACACCAAAAAAGGAAGACATTGACTACAAGGAAACATTCTCTCTCGTTTCAAGAAAAGATTCCTTGAGAATTGTAATAGTAGTGGTGGCTTTGTATGATTTTGAGCTTTATCAAATGGACATAAAGATCACCTTCTAAATGATAAACTTAGAAGGAGATCTACATGAACTAATTAAAAGTTTTTTAGATCACAAGAAATGAAACGTTAGTGTGTAAGTTGAATAGATCGATATATGGACTAAAACAAGTCTCTCGTGAATGTTATCTTAAGTTTAATGATACCATCACTGCTTATAGATTTGTAGAGAATACCGTACATTAAGGTCAGTGGGAGTAGATTTGTTATTTAGTTTCGTATGTCGATGACATATTATAGTTGCTAATAATGTGGACATGTTGCACGAAGTAAAGTATTATCTCTCTAAAAAGTTATGAAATAAAGGATGTGGATGAAACGTCCTTGCTAGATCACAAGGACTAAAAGTTTATCCCATAAAAGTTTTATTTGAGAGATAATGGATGGTTGTTCCGTATAATTCTAATTCATAAAAGGGACACATTTAGTCTAAAATAAATGTTCGAAAGGTGAAATGGAATGAAAAGTGATGGAGGAAATTCCTTAGATATAAATGATTAGGAGTCTTAAGCGAGACGAACCTGTACTAGGTTTGATAATATATTTGTTGTTGGTACGTTAACTATAAAAATGATTTTAAATGATTATGCTGCAAAGAAATTTTTAAAGTATTTACAAGGCATTAAAGAACACATGCTAACTTAAAGAAGATCCAAATTATTTGTTATAATTGGATAATCGGATTCAGACTTTTGCTCATAATTTCTAAAGGAGCAAGATTATGGAAAAGTGGAACAAAGTCCATCATCGTGACTTCCACGATTAAGTTTGAGTTTGTGGTGTGCTGTGAGGCCACAAGTCAAATTTAGGGCTACGGTGCTTTATCTTAGGACTTGGAAATGTCGACATCTTGTCCAAGCCGCTAGAAATTATCGCAGTAACGTAGCAATAATATTTCAAGGAATGACAAGTATCAAAGGGTGTGAATCACATAAAATTGAAATACTTGGTCGTAAAAGTAGAAGTGAAGAACTGAAGTGTCATTTGAGCATTCTAGTACTACTTGCATGAAAGCGGATCCATTAAAGGGTTATTCCCTATAGCCGTTGCAAGGCATATAAAGAAAATTGGGAATAACGAATGGGGCCTTGTTGGACTGACCGATACTGAATGAAATTGCTCAATTAATGATTTTGACACTTGTTGAATTCAATTAAAGATGTTTGGTTCTTCACATATAATATCATCATTATGGATATTTGATTTTATAGTATATACATAAAAGTTGGATGACTTATGGTTATGGTACGAACTGATTGTTCGATATTAAAGTAAAGTTGAATTAGAAATGATTTGTGGTACATGGAAGGGATCATGTCGCTCGAAGACTTGTGACCGCCATGACTCGGTTAATTTCTATTTTGATTTTAAACTTATAGATATATGTATTCAATTATAAGTTTGATGAAAGGTGCGCACTTAAAGTAGTTCTTTGGGTTTCGGCACTTATATGGTCCAAGTGGGAGAATGTAATAATATTTTATATATTATTCTATTATTGTGGACCATATAATTAATTGGACCTAATTGAATTAATAGTCAAACTTATTTAAGGTGAATATGTATTTAATGGATTATTTAATGTTCTAATATAGAGTCCAATTTGTGATGTTTGACTTGGACAGTAAGTTAGGTTAGAACATGTGGAATGTTAGTAGGAATAGGTTTGTAGGACTCCTCCTATATATACTACATGCCCCTCTCTCCCATCTCATACGAAAATAAAGTTCTCAACATCAAGGGCTTTATGAAAAGACGAGAGACGCGGGAGAGAGAAACAATTCATAGGCAAAAGCAAATCCATCATCGGAGAGTACGACAAAGATAGATCCATGAGATTACGAGGAAGAGATCGCAGATCAACATCATAGATCAAGAAAACAGGGAAGGACTATAAGCTGGATTCTTGTAAGTTCTATGTGCAATTTAATTAATGCAAAGATCCATATTCTATGAACTGATAGAATTATATGATAGGGTTTATTCAATTCCGCCTAATAGTTATGAGTATGCCCATTAAATTTCTTACAAAAAGACCAACCAGTAATTCTCAGAAAACTTTGTTGTAGAAACCTAAGAATATTTCTAATGTTCATATGCTTTCAACAAATTTTTAAGAGTGTTGGAAGCAATCTTGCAGCCCAATCGATAAAGATTGAAATTTTGACAATTTGAGGGACTAAATTGTAATTTACTAAAATAGTTCTCGCAAACTATTTCTAATGGATATTATTCATGTTATTAGGAACATTATAAAATAAGTTACAACCCAAACGAATTCTTGCGCAATTCGAAATGACTTTTCGAAAGTTACTATGCAATAAAAAAGTACGAAATACCAATATACAAAATTGAAAGGACTAATTGGTAATTTACCAAAATAAGTTCTCCCGAACTGCTTCTACTGGACGTTATTCATGTTCTTAGGAAGATTTTAAATTAAGTTACAGCCCAAACGAATACATGTGCAATATGGAATGATTTTTCAAAAGCTGTTGCACAACAAAATGTACGAAATGCCAATATACAAAAATTTGAAGGACAAATTATAACTTAACAAAAAAGTTCTCTAGAACTATTTCTAATGAATAATATTCATGCTCTTAGGAACATTTCAAAATAAGTTACAGCCTAAACGAGTTCTTGTGTAATGTTGTAACAAATTATTTTTATTTTATCGAGCACCGAATCGAATGATTCGTTTCCCGGGTCGATCTCTCGAGGAAGGTGGTTCAGAATTTAATATTAATATCGATAACACATAAAAGTAAAATAAATCCTACACATTCTAATCACGATAGGGTTGAAAAATTAACAACTAAGAAATAACATAAGACGATAATCTACCTAAGAATATAAAGGATAAAAAGATAGACGAGTTAGGGTATCGAGAAAAATCGCTTCCGGTTCTACACACATTTAACGGAAATTAATAATTCGGTTAAGTGGTTCGACTAACTAACTCATTTAGCGGTTTAACCTCACTAACTCTCGTAATATGAGGATAAACATAAAAGAGTAAATTAACGAACCAATTAACACATAGACAACACGTCTCCGAACATGTTTACTCTAAACGAGCCAAATTCCACCAATTTCTCCCCTCTCGGTATTGAAATCGATTATCTCTACGACTCCTCCCCTTTCGGTTTTAAAAGTCGCAATTCGTATAATTAACAAACTCTTACTCAACAAATTAATATTCAATCACAAATCGAAATGTCACTCTTCAATTATATAAACAAATTAACCTAAGTGTCACTCTTAGGTTATAAAAATTTATCAAGTATGATTTTATCAATTCATAATTAAAACAACTCGTCTATGATTGAGCTATCATCATGCACATAAACGAGAACAAACCGGAATGATTATCCCCTAACCCTAGCTAAAGGATTAGCTACTCATATCTAATTCAACACAACAAAACATTTTTCCTAAATTAACCATTATGCATGAATTAATTCAAAGAGAAAATAAACTTACATATCAATCTCCAAGTGTTGAGTCCAAATACAAGCTTCATCGAAAAGACAAAATAAAGAGAATACAAGAAGAAGAAAGAGAGGGAGAAATGGAGAAGGAGGGGAGGGGAGAACCCCCTTCTATGGAGTTGTTCTTTTTTCTTCAAAACCTTGCCATCTTATATAGCTATCTTCACCACTTTTCCATCCATAAAACATTCCATAAAACATGCTAAGATGTCTCAAGATGTTCAATGGCTCAAAACATAGAGGAGTGGCTCAAAACATGGAGGAATATCAGTTTTCAAGGGTCCATGGTCGACCAAACATGTCCAAAGTCGAGCACTACCCCCCAACATTCCATAATTTGAGGAAAAACACACTTTTTTGCTGAAAACTGCACCTTAGCGCTGCTAAGGAGGGTTAGCGGCGCTAAAGAATGAAGGCTGGTAGCCTCTGGCATTGCTAACATGTAATAACGCCGCTAAGGAGAGGTTAGCGGCGCTAAAGAATGAAGGCTGGTAGCCTCTAGCATTGCTAACATGTAATAACGCCGCTAAAGAGAGGCTTAGCGCCGCTAAGGCCTGGGCAGCGCGACTTTGTGTTTCGGGCTCGTTTAGGCTCGTCTGAACTCAAAATTGAGTTCCGTTTTTTCCTACGCGACGCTAACGAACCCCTCTATTCAATGATGCTTGAATGGCCAAATTATTCTTAAAATCCAATTCTCTCAAAGCTTATGACCAGCACACCGAAAACGTGCTTCGTGCGACTCCGCGTTTTGGGCCCGTTCGGACTCGTCAGAAGTGATCCAAAGTCAAGAACCTGACATCCAGATCGAGTGAGACGAGATCACTCGCTGAAGTGAAAAGTTATGAGAATCGATGCGACTACTATTTTTTTTTACTCAGTTATTTCTGCTACAGTGTAGTGCTTCATTTGTACTTAAAAATTTCCATTGCCAATTTTGCAATATAAATATTCTTAAAAAAAAAAAAAGAAAGAAAGAAAGAAAACACATGATTAGAATTTTGAAATCTCAGACTTAGTTCACGGGGCTAAGTTTGATTTCTTAATTTAAACATATATATCTAGTTTTGTTTTCTTCCATATTAATCCATTTTTAAATATCAATCGTCGTTTAGCGTTTGGCGTCGCATCCTCGTCCGACCCGGTGTGGGGGGCATGACAAGTGGGGTAATATATTAATTAACTTACATGCTAGCCCTAACAGGTTCAGTTTTAACGGTCTGACTAAAAAACCAACACAAATTCAAAAAAGCAAAAAATGAATAATCCAACTCTATTAGTTTTGATGCCTAAACAGGCATGCCATGTAAAAATGATTCATTTAACATTACGGGACTACGTACTAACTTGAGAAAATTATACCCTGCTCCAAAGTTATCATTTAACTAATTTGATCAACTTTATTTGCAAAGATACCTAAAGCACAATTTTAGGGAACTTTATCAGTTACCAAAAACCCTTATTTCTAAGTTTATGGTAGTAACCTCTCTCCCATATCTTCTCCTTTTTCTTTCCCGTCAATTTTTCTCTCTTTCTTATTATCCCATCTTCTTCTTCCTCACATCAATTTGCACTCTCTTTCTTATTATCCCATCTTCTTCTTCCTCACATCAATTTGCAGACACCAACAATTTTCCAAATCCAAAATCGAACAGCCACCCTCCTCTGCGACAAGCACCTTCTCTCCGGCGAGGGAAACCTCCACATCACCACCAAGAAGATTGAGAAGCTCGAGGGTGAGGCTTACGTCAACGTCCACAAGGAAAAGATAATACCCGGCACGAGCTAAACCTTGTCCTCTCCTACGAGGTTGTGGCCAAAGATTCCGACGGGAACTCAGTGGTACTATACACCGAAGGCTCAGTTGAGGTGCCCTATATTTCCTATGAGAACGACGACGAGGATCTAGAGATCCGAATCACAATCAAAGACGACGGTCGGTCGGTAAGAGATTGAAGCAGGCGTTTATCACCAAGGGGAAGCCCTTTGTCTTTGAAAAAAATCAGGCAGTGCATCGAGGCAATGGCGAGAGGCTGGCCGGCCAAGGAGGACTTTGATGTTAAGGTCGACAGTATATGTTGAGTTTATATACAGTATATTTTTAGTATATGTTCCCGTCGGCACTCTAGGTTTATGTTCAAATATAATGTATTGTTGGGTTTTACTAATTTACACATGCCTGTAATATATATTGATTATAAACGCAATATACTGAACCAAAATTCAAACACCTGAGAGCTGAAATTTATTAAAAAATGTTATGTAAAAAAAATGCAGTATATTCGTAATATATACTGACTATAAACGCAATATATACTGTCCATTCAAAATACGTGAGAGCTAACAGCATGTTTGGATATAAAAAAATTTGGTGTTGTTGGATTTTTTGATTTGGTTTGGTTAATTTTGAAAAAGGTGGTATGGTTAGTTGTTAGTGGGTATATTGAAATAATATTTAAAATAAAATAATTAAAATTGATTTGTTGTAAAAGTATAAGAGAGATGATTTGAAGTGATGGTTAGTTAAAATAATGTGAGTGGATAAATAGTGAATTAAGGTTAATGTAGTGTGTATGAATGATTGATTGATATTATTTAATTACATGATAATATTGATAATAGTGGGGTTGAGTTAAAGTTGAGTTAAAAAAAATGGTTGAGTTAAAATGTTGGCCTACTAATTACAGTTAATGAAAATTCGCCTACTGATATTATTACAACTAATATTGGCCCTATCGTAAAATTACAATTATTTTCAAATCACACGGTAAAAATGAAAATTTGCCTACTAATTTTAGGTACAGAGCCCACCCATAGGTCTTCCAATATTGAACCCATTTTCTTTGAATTTAAGGTGTTTAAAAAAGCGCTATTCCACAAATTTGTACTCCACAAAAACCAGTGGCACGTGTGAAGCCAAGCCAAGTCTAGAGCATACACATCAATATATATGTACTACACACAC